ACTAAATTTTAACCGCTATACCAAATAGGTCGTTAATCTTTTACCTGTATATCATGTAATTTAAATTTAAAATTTTTTATTTTCATTAGAAAAAAATTATTACTAAAGTATTTAGGTCATTGGTAAATAATTCACTTTTTAGTTATTAAGTCATATATAAAATAAAATAAAATAAACAAAAAAGTTGATATAATCAGATTTAGCACAAATAGCATGTGTATAAATATAATTGGTTGGTTGATAAAATTAAAGTCAATTTTATTTTTTTATATAATTTAATGATTAATAAATGCATTAATTACATTTTTTTATCAACACATTACATTCTTAAGGTTAAAAAAATCCTAATTTAAAATCCCCTAACTAAGAATTATCCTGCTATAAAATAATTGTTAAATGTCAAATTTAGTCCTAAAGCTTTCATTTTTAGTTTGTAAACTTTTTTTTTTTGGTCTCTTAATTATAAAAAATGTACTTTTTTTTTTGTCATTCTATTCGGATTTATTTGTTAAGTTTGTCCCTATGATATTTTTTTAATTTCTTTTAAGAACCTAAATGTGCATTAAACAAAAGTTTAAAGATTAAAAATATACAAAAAAATTTAGTTTAGGGAACAAAAAATATACATAAAACAAAAAACTTAGAGACAAAAAAAGCCAGTTTGTATAACTTAACCGATAAAGTTGACATAGGGACAAAAAAACACATTTTTTTTTATAGTGGACAAAGACGAAAAGAGTGCAACAAATAGTTTGGAAAATAAAATTATTCAAAATTAAAAGTGTAGAGGTTAAATTTATCATTTAACCTAAAATAATAGAGAAATTCGTGGAAGAAGAATTACAAAATAGATAAATATAGAAAATCAATGCAAAGAAATGTAATCTATTTTTTTTAGCACACTATCTATAAGAATCTAAGTCATATATATTTACAAATGCAAGTCATATATATAAGATTAAACATCCACTAAATGAAAGATTACAAGAACTAAAATTACTCATTAATAGAGGGGTAACAAAATAAGCTTTTATAACCATTAATTGTAATTGCATTAAAAAGGGGATGTTAATCACCTTTATGTGCGTGAGGAAGTGAAGAGTTAATAACCATTATTTTCTATGTAATTGTATGAAAAAGTGGGAGGTAGAAGATGAAGAAGGTAAGACATTCACAACAAATTTGGTAGAAGAAGGGCTGAGGAGGGAAAATCGATGGTGTTTAGATGCCAACTTGTTGCATGGTGGAAGCGGGGCAAAACTCTCGAATTTACTCTAAAAAAATATCGATATGGATACATTTATTTTTAAAAAAAAGTAAGAATGAATTGTCTCTCCAAATTATAAATCAATACAAATTATTTTTTTTTCAACGAAAAACGTTAGAATTCTTTTTGTCATGTAAGCATTTTTTAATGAAAAATATTGAAAAATAAGTAATTTGTATTGATTTATGATTTAGAGAGACAATCTATCCCTATTTTTTTTTTTAGAGATGGATGTTTTTACTGATATTTTTTTAGAGTGAATTTGAAGGTTTTGCCGTGGAAGCGGTGGTCACAGGCGTCAGCGGTGCAGAAAACTGACGCCTCGGCCTTGTCGCATGCAACGCACTGGATCTTCATCCGGTGATATCTTCGACCAGAATGCTTTGAACAGAGAATAAGAATGGTAAGTGCAGAGTGGCTTTTCCAAATGTGAGTGGGGGCTCGAATTTGGTGCTGAGAGGAAGGAGAGAGACAGAATTATGGGTTTTCTTTATCCAAGTTTTTTGTTTTTTGTTTTTTTTTGGGGGGAGGGTAGGGTGGACCGTTATGATTTTTTTTTTTTTTAACAAATTCACAAGGTCAAATTTAAATCGTTGTTTTGAGGATGAGAGAATATACTTATACGTGATCTGACATTACTGGATCTAAAGGTCTAAATGCGATTCATCTTTTTTTTTTTTTCTCCTTGAAAATTTTGTATTTCTTAGATTTGGCCAATCTTGTCTCGTGCTTGACTTCATCTTGGATGAACAAGTAAACAAATTAAAAAATTGTAAGGTCAGACTCAT